TTGATGTAAATGTTGGTCTTTCGTAGTATCTTTGTGAAATCCATTTAATTCAATGTAATAAACCACACTAATGGATAACTGCTGGACATGCCCACGTCTGCCAACATTCAAGCTTAACACTGCACCTTTACATGATTTGTGAAATGGCTCCTCCTCCTTTTTACAATCACGCATGTACAGGGAGATTCACTCGAAAGAGGCCCTGAATATTCTGTTGTAACTCCCGTTAGGATGAAACAATCTGAACCAAAAAAAATACGCTACATACCTTGACGTATGTGTAATCGATTGTGTTACGTGACGTACGTGTAATCGATCACTGTTTTCTGCCAGACACATGAAGGCGTATGGGGATATGCACCCTGAAGTTGCAAACGGAGGTTAAACGTCGCAACGGCGGTCAGGCGCCTACCTCATCGCTCTGCTGCAGGGGCAACCCAGCTTGTTCAAAGCTCTATATACTGAGGAGCTCATTGCACGTTGTTTCGTTCAGATTGCTTTGTCCTACCGAGAGTTATTACAGAATAAAAGTAGGCCTGTTTCATCTTCATTCAGTTTCAGAGCCAAATTTCATAGCTAACAAACAAAAATACTGAAGCTATGTACTTCAGCTATTTGAACAGATACATCCATCCATCATCTAAACCGCTTATCCTTCTGGGTCGCGGTGGGGTGCTGGAGCCTATCCCAGCTGTCATTGGGCGGAAGGCAGTCCATCGCAGGGCAGACAGACAGACAGACATACACATTCACACACTCACACCTAGGGGCAATTTAGCACATCCAATTGGCCTGACTGCATGTTTTTGGATTGTGGGAGGAAACCGGAGTACCCGGAGGAAACCCACGCAGACACGGGGAGAACAGGCAGAACTCCACACAGAAATGACCCTGGTCACCCGGCCGGGAATCGAACCCAGGCCCTTCTTGCTGTGAGGCGACAGCGCTACCCACTGCGCCACCGTGCCGCCCTGAACAGATACATATGTATTAAAAAAATCTTTTTATCGATTAGTTATCATGAAGATATTTGCACTTCCCATTTACATAACTTGACTGAAAGAAGGAAAACATAGATGGCGGAGATTACAGGGCTACGCATGACTGAAAAAAAAGTCAAAACTATGCGAACATTTCTCTAACATCTTCCAAAGACCGTTTCCTGCAAGATATGTAAAACTGAGTTTACCTTTGACAGCAGCACAGCTCACATTGTTGTCTGTTTTTTCTGTTTTGGTTTAGCAAAATGAACACCACTGACTGAAAAGATAAGCAGCACTTTTTTTGTCTAAACTGCACAGGTAGATAATGCTTATTCGTTGTTAGTGCGCTAATGCACATAGGCCTGCGCGTCCTCATGGATAGAGGCATTTTAAAGTGTACTTTCAAAAAACTGCGTTTTGGCCTTCTGCCTGCACAAAAACAGTGTTTTAGGTCACTGAAAACTGAGCTTTTGCAAGATGCTGTGCAGGGTGGAGATTTTTAAACAAATCTTTTCATGTGGACAGGTATTTTAGGAAAAACGTCGACTTCACATTAGGGCTGGGCGATAAAATGATGATAATTATTGCGATATAACTTTTCCTCGATAGAGCGATACGACATGTTCGATAAATGTTCGATATAATACACCATTCTTACACTTCCACGTTTTAGCGAAAGCCTTGGTGGGATTTTCTACTGCAAGGAAAGCGGCACTACTCCACTGTCGCCAGGAGAGGGCGCACTCCCGAGTTTTTCTACATGGTTAGAGAGGGAGGGGGTCACGAGTAAGATGAGTCTTTAGCAACGGCTGAAACGCGGAGTTATACATTCCCTGTTTGAGTGGAGTGACCGGCGATATGTTCTCCTGTGACCGAGTGTGAGAGACGAGGTCAGTGGTGTAACTATACTGTCCTACAGCGAACTCACCTCTAACATCCTAACCAGCTTTAGCAGCGTTAAATCACAATCACAATCCTCACAACTAAAGCGCTGTTAAAGCGCTTGGACAGTCATATTTAAGTATCAGTGCATTCCCAAGCAACGAAAGTGAAAGAAAGAAGTGGGTTCATGTAAATTACAGCCCTGATTTAAACGAAAGCAAACTGAGGAAGCTGTGAGGCATTGGAGAGCGGGAGAGCGCTAGCTTTCCAGGCTAGCTGTTTTTTAGCAGCTGGCTATCTTGAAGCAGCGCTCCATCAGCACCGCTTTCAGTTTAAACGTACCTAAAAGGAGGACTCTGTTTGTCTGGTGTTGATATTTTGCGGTTCACCACTTAAACTACTACGATAGTATAGAGAAATCCAGTCGTCGCTAGCTGGTGTCTGAATACTGTGATGTCATTTGTAGTGGGGTAGCCGAGCGCTCGGCACCAGCTAAAAATAATCTGTTTTCTTTCTTGAATTATGACTATTACTAAATAGCCATGCTTTTCCAGCTGGTAAAAACAGCTCACCAGACACTATCTCCCACTCTCCCATGACAGATTTGTGAAATGTTCCACTGTTTGGCGAGGGTTTGTTGTGTTCTGACCATAAAGGATAGTTTAAAACAGCAATTAACCACCCAGGAGCAAAAATCAGCCTTCAAACTTGAAAGAAATAATGATTTGACATTTATCGCGATATGTATCGATATCGAACGATATGAATTTTGTTTATCGTGATAACATTTTTGGCCATATCACCTAGCTCTACTTCACATGCATGTTTGCTGTTTGACAAGTGGTGAACATGCTTAATGGCTCTGCATGTCTGACATGGCTGATAAACCGGCTACTTCTGTGTGCTTAGTCATATCAGGTTCAGGTACATAGTACTGTCCACACAAACTCATTAATTTATCTTTGCTTTATATTAGAGGAGAAAAATATCTGAATAGCATTGTGAAGTTCTTGTAGAATCAATCTACCTCCATAATTGTGCTTGGACTGCCATGTCAGACTTGTTCATGCATTGTTCCTTGACTGTTTCAGCACCTTTCATGTTGAGTAAAATGGCTGTTTTGAGGGCAGTGCAGAAGGCATAGACTGTTGGGGGCACTTCTTCTTTTTCCGATGAATCGGAGCCATAATGATTAATAATCAGACAGAATAATCGATTCTTAGAAGCATCCTTTATATAACTTGCACAGGATAGTAATAGCGATCCATCTGTCAGTAAGCCAGTCACACAGGGCGTAACAATGCCATCCTAACTGATAGAGCTGTCTTTGATATGCCTGGCCCACACAACAGGATTTTTGATATCCTAACTGATGTGTGAATGTGAGAGACCCTGCACGTAATAACAGATTCCACTGACTTTTTTTTTCTGATCTTTATTTGTCCTTTAGTCATCGAAGACCCCCACTACAAGACTTGCCCAGAATAAAATACTATACACTTTCAGATTATGCTCATCAGTCAGCGACCTGATCAGTGGTCCAATTTCTCAGAACCTGAGATCGTGCTGAATTTTTCATGAACAAATGTGACTTTAGATAAAGATGATAGACTACAGCAGGACACAGATTACTGTGCCAGATATGCATGAATTTAGCTGCGTAAAAAAATGTTAATTTTTTTTACAATCTTGGTAAGGATAAAATTACTTTTAATCTGCCATTCATTTCTGCTGTTTTATCCATGACGTCAGCTCAGCGTTTCATATGAGAGAATCCACACCCTCCCCACGGTACAGGATGTTGAGTCATAAATATTGTACGAAATCAGGACGATCATGAGTGGACAGTGAGTAGATCGGAGGGGTAAAGATTGAATTATACACACCCAGCACCATAGGATAGTCTGGGAAGATAATTATGAAAGAACTTCCTGAAATTGAGACATCTTTTGTATTTGTTGCGTGAGTCGAGTCCTGCACTGTGGGCCAGCCATTAGATTTATGACGAGACTGTCCATAGTCGCTTATACATGCAAGCTAAAAAGTTGCCCACCACACCACAGACTGCACTGACAAAGAGGCCAGTAATCATTTTTAGAGATGGTGCGATACTATTTTTGCTTTGTTGTTTTCCAGTACCAATATTGAAACCTTGAGTATTGACTGTTACCGATCTGTTAGTTTCTTTTTTCTTTAAAAATTTGGTTTAAAAAGAAGATAAATAAGACGATAAATTGTATAACAATTTGACTGATACCAGTCCATATTGATATGCCATCTTTTAATATTAGTACACCTATTTACTGTGTTTACAAATGTATTAGTACATTTGCTCAAAGTTAGTGAGAGTTTGCTCAGCTTGAATGTACATTGCTCAAACCTTAATGGAGGCTGGCTCATACTCAGATAATTATGGCCGGCTTTGTTGGGCTTCTTTCTATAGAGAATGTGCATAGAATATAATAGAGCGTTTTAGTGATGAGTAAGAAAATAAAATAGGGTTCCCACAGATCACTGGAACTCATTACTAATCAAGCGGTCACATTCAGTACACACTTGTAAGAATATAAAACATATCATTGCTATCCAAAAAAAAAAGTATACCTATTTTTCGACATCATTTGAACCCAGCAGCTTTACCGTTGTGTATAAATGAATGATGAGTTGATCAATAGAAATGCTGCAGATTGACCTAGATTAAAACCTCTTTACGTTAACTTACATTAACAGTAAAGAATGTTTTTGTCTTCTCCTGTAAAGTTAAAGTTTGGAGATGCATGTTTTTCTTTTGACAGTGACAGTGACAGTATATATCTTTAATTTAACTACCATGTAAAATTTTAATGTAGCCAGTCTTTTTTCACTTTTTTATCTTATTCTATTCATTTTATTTCCATTTTTATTACCATTTGTTTATCATAGGTGCCTCTGTTTTTTATTTTAAACTATTTCAGTGTACTGTTTCATTGAGCTTCTACATGTAAGACATATTTCTCTATAAATAAAGTTATTCCTATGAATATATGTTTTATAGAGGAACCCATGGACTCTGCTCAAGCTTATTGAGACTAGAACTTAAAATAGAGAATCTGTATGACTTTCAGCTGCATTAAACTCTTCTCTCTATCTCTCTAGGCGAGGTCTGAACCCTCCCCACAGAGTGAAGTCCATTTCTATGACGACCTTCACGCAACAGGAAATAGAATTTCTACAGAAGCACGGGAATGAGGTAATAGAATAAACCTGAATTGTACCATATTTCCTTGGAACAGTGTTTTAAAGAGCGGGTGTGTCTGTGTGTGATTGCTGAATCTATTTTAATGCACACAGATGTCCTGTTGTCAGTATTTTGGGGAAGACAGGTTCCTTTCAACAAGATTTCTATCATCATACGTACATTGACCAAGAAACCAAGCTGTATCCCTCAGCTTATGTTTCTGTTTTACTTATTTAATCCAGTCTAAACAGGCAAGTTATTAATTTTTGAGGGAATGTTTCTGAGGAGCTCAGATGCAAGATAATCCACTTGCAAACAAAAGGAGAAAGTCAAATGAAAATAATAAAAAACAGGAGTTTTCTGCGCTACAGTTCAAAAAATAATAAAAAAATAGTAAATAGATCTTCTAACAACTGACCTGGTAGACTATTAAAACTGTCCCCATCAGATAAACAGTACTTAAACCTTCCACCTTCAAGAGAATAGAGAATCAAGCTCCACTCTTGCTTCCCACCTGAAAAAACTTAAGTGAATGAAGGTGTAGCCTCTGACTTTTGCACAGATCTCTATAGAAAATCTTGGTCTGGGCTGTACTGTTGTCTGGACAGCCTCTTTGGTCTGTGGAGTATTTTACACAGCAGGATTTCTCAGTAAGCTTAATGCCCAAAGTATGGATAGTCCGGTGTAGTGCTCCTCCTTTTAGACAAGCCTGAGTTTTGACTGAAATTATCTGGCCAATGTAGAAATCTTGTCTTGTGAAATTACCCCTCTTTAATTCACGGTTATTCCTTAAAAAATACGAATTTCCCAGAACACAGAAGAATATTCCATGTTAGGCCTATTGTATTCCTAAATAGGCTTATGCAAAATACACACTGTAATGAAACTGGAATTTGACTTGTGACATGGCTTGCCCTGACCTTTTTCTTACTTGGAGTCTTGCCAGTGTTCCGGGTTATGAGTGTGTAACTGGGCCTGTTCACACAGTCAGTTTGAGGATATTCCCTTAAGCATGTTAAAATAATGTACAGGCACTCGCTGTGTTGTAAGATGCACTGATCACGTTGTCATTTCTGAATAATAGCGATTGTTTTCCATTAGCTGATGAATTCCAGTGAAATCAACAGACTTGCTGTGTGAAGGTCTAAACTGACATTCAAAACAAGGACTTTCCTCTCATTGACGTTTTAACCTACAGTCCATTCACTTTTACACACTTAGTGGATCACAGCTGGACAGAGTCGCACGATCATCAGAGTTGTTAATTAGGTAGTGGATGGCAATAGCTGGTACTGGACTAACACTTTGAGCATCACCATCACAGTTTACATTCAGTACACCTATTTTTTCAGCTCAGAGCTGAGTGAGGAGAAAACTGATATATATTTAAGCAACATATTTTGATAATAAATTGTGGCAGTAATTGAAGAGCATGGAACCACTGTTAATTACAACCCCATTTCCAAAAAAAGTTGGGACGCTGTGCAGAATGTAAATAAAAGTAGAATGCAATGCAACATATGAAATATTAGACTGAGAAATTTTATTGTTTTTTTGAAAAATATTTGCCCATTTTGAATTTGATGCCAACAACACGTTCCAAAAAAAGTTGGGATGGGGGCATGTTTACCACTGTGTTTCATCACCTCTTCTTTTAATGAACTCTGTAATCGTTTGGAAACTAATGAGACTGATTGCTGTAGTTTTGAAAGTGAAAAGTTTTCACATTCTTGTTTGATATAGGATTTCAGCTGCTCAACAGTTCGGTATCTCCTTTGTCATATTTTTCATTTGATAATGCACCAAATGTTTTCAGTGGCTGACAGGTCTGGACTGCAGGCAGGCCAGTTTAGCACCCGGACTCTTTTAATACAGAGCAATGCTGTTGTAATACATGCAGAATGTGGTTTGGCACTGTCTTGCTGAAACAAGCAAGGCCTTCCCTGCAAAAAAAAACTGTCTAAATGACAGAATATGTTGCTAAAACATGTATATATCGTTGAGTATTAATGGTGCCTTCACAGATGTGCATGTCACCCATACCATGTGCACTAATGCACCCCTATACCCTCATGAATACTGGCTTTTGAACTGTGTACTAATAACAAGCTGAGTGTTCTTTAGCCCAGAGGATACAGTGTCCATGATTTCCAAAAAGAATTTCAAATGTTGATTTGTCAGACCACAGGACACTTTTCCACTTCACTTTAGTCCATTTTAAATGAGCCCGGGCCCAAAGACGGTGGCAGCGTTTCTGGATACTGTCACATACAATTTCTTCTTTGCATTTTAGAGTTTTAACTTACATTTGTGGATGCAGTGATGAACTGTGTTCACAGACAGTGGTTTCTCCTGATTCTCTGAATTTTTTAATGATATTATGTACTGTAGATGATAAAAAGCAAAAAGGTCTTTGCTGTTTTACGTTGAGAAACGTTATTCTTGAATTGTTGCACTATTTGATCATGCAGTCTTTCACAGAGTGGTGAACTCCTTCTCATCTTTACTTCTGAAAGACTCAGCCTCTCTGAGATGCTCTTTTCTCAATCATGTTACCAACCTGTTGTAAATCAACTACCAATTTTAAGCATTACACAACTTTACCAGCCTTTTGTTGCCCGGTCCTAACTTTTTTGGAACGTGTTGGCATCAAATTCAAAATTTTGTTGCCAAATAGTTTTCACAAAACAATAAAATTTCTCGGTTTGTTTCATTTGATATATTGTCTTTGTACTATTTTTAAAGAAATATATGGTTTAAATGATCTGCACATCATTGCATTTTGTTTTTATTTACATTTTGCACAGTGTCCCATCTTTTTTAGAAATGGGGTTGTATTTTGCAGAATTCATGTCATTACTAATATATTAAGAGATGAAAAGGGAAATAGGTAAATAAACAAGGGTTCACACTAGGGATATAAATGATTTAGGGCAACAGCTAATCAACGCTATCGATAATGTCTAGCCAGTCTTAGTTGTCATAATGACATTTGCACTTCTCTTTTACCTAACTCGACTAAAAGATGTAAAGCACAGATAGCACCAATTACAGTACAGTGTTATGCACGAGTAAAAAAATCAAAAATATGGGACTACTTCACATCAAAAAATAGACGGTTTTCTGTGAAATGTGTAAAACTGGGCTCAGCACGACTGTAATGTATAAAACACATTCATGGCACGAAATGATAAAAGCTCAGCATGTTCTCATCTGTTTTCAGCTTTGTTGTGGCTTAGCAAAATGAACAGCGTTTTTGCCGGGAGATGAGCTGCATTTTCATCTAAACTATACTTACTCATTGTTAGTGCTCTAATGCACGCAGACCGGCCCGCATTCAGGATACAGATATTTTTCTTTGCGTTTTTGAAAGCTCTGACATCCAGTGTATGTTTATTGCTTTTATACAAGAGGTGAATATACTTTATGGCCCTGCTTTGTTGTCTGACAAGGCTATTAATCAGGCTGTTTTTGTGCTCAGTAATATCAGGTTTGATCACATGATGTTGGGGACCTCACAAACGAATTAATTTATATTTGTTTTATCATTAGAGGAGAAATTATTTCAGTAGCAATGCCAAGTTCTTGTCGAAGCAAACTGTCTCCATATTAGTACTTGGACTGCCATGTAAGATTTGCTCAAGCATTGCTTCTTTACTGTTTCTGCACCTTTCACGTTGAAAAAAGCATTTTTGAGGGCAGTGCAGAAGGCATTGTTGATCTTGATAAGGGTATGTGTTTTATGTTTGAAACAGTGTGCAAAAGGAGAAATAATCCTTGTATTACCGTTGAAGAATGTTTTTGGAATGTATACATAAGTGCATAAAATGCTAAACATTAGCTAGGTCTACAAAAATAAAGTTCGCAGCTAAAAGAAAATTGGTGCTCAGACCAGTTTTCGAGAGAACTTTATTACAACAATGTACCATATCGAAAGCAAACATCTGCAAGTGATAAGACGGGCAGCTATTTCTTCAGTGTTCTCTGAGAAAAAGTGTGATCACACAGGGTGTGAACATTTAGAGAGAAGCGCTTGGCGGACACTGACAGCTTTCAAGAGCTACTGAGGTACATAGAGCCAGAACTTGCTCTGATCGTGGCACTTATGTGCCAGAATATGTATTCTAACTTAGTAATGAGTTGTAAATGGAACTTTTGAACATTGGCTGTTGACAGTTCTGTATTCTAATCATTTACATATTAATTTAGTTTTTGGTCATTTCATTATGAGCATATTATAGTTTATATACAATTATTGTTTTGTTTTAAACAAAACAGAGTTCTTAAGTAAGATATATTTAATACAGTTACGGGCCATTTACTTCATGTACACAATTATGCCTGGCCCTACCTATCAGTACTAGATTCAACTCTCCACATAAGGAGCACTTATTATTATCTTGGTGTATGAACAGAATTCAGTTGATATGCACTCAAAAGTTTGTGTAACAAAAGTCCAAAATCTGTTGACTCATATAGGCTATGACTCATAGCGTACTAGAAGTATTAAAGTCTAAGATGTTGCCTAAAGGCTATGTTACCATGTATATTAAAGAGTTATCATGTATATTAAACTAGGGTTGGATGATATGGTAAAAATAGATCCTGATACTTAAACATTTTCATGTTACACAATGAACATCACTAGGGATGCATCTATACTTATACTGGTATCAGCCCAATACCCTGCTTATTTACTTGTGCTCATTAAAAAATGCACAGATACCAACATCTGATACCAGCTGATACCATGTGACATAAGCCTGGTGTACATGCCACACTAATGAACAAACCACTCAAGCTGGCAGTGGACCAGTGTTTGCTCGCATAGAGAAGTGTGAGCAGACACTTCCGCAGGGCCTACACTGTGCAATTTCGTCCTGTTTTTAAACACACATGAACACAATGTTCCCCAACACAGGTGGAGATACGTAGGCTAGGAAAACGGAGGCGCTTTTTTGATAATTATTCTTAGACAGAGCCTTGTGTAAGGGCTGCGTTTCAAGTAGTGT